GGGTGACTAGCTGGCTCAGTTGATAGAACGTGAGACTCTTGATTTTGGAGTTGTAGGTTCGATCCCACGTTGGGTGTAGAGATTACTTAAAAATAAATTGGGGCACCTGGGTGGCTCAGTGGGTTAAGCCTCTGCCTTCGGCTCAGGTCATGATCCCAGGGTCCTGGGATTGAGCCTCACGTCAGGCTGTCTGCTCAGCGGGGAGCCTGCTTCCTCCTCTCTTTCTGCCTGCCTCTCTGCCTACTTGTGATCTCTGTCAAATAAATAAATAAAATCTTAAAAAAAATAAAATCTTTAAAAGAGAGGGTATATATTTGGATCAGTCATATATACCCAGATATATCCTTAGATATCTGATCGCGACAAACTGTGACTTGGTCTCCAAGGCAAATTTCCTTTCCATCTGCACAGGGGCTGCTGCTCGACCTGGTTTCTGTGTAGTTTATACAGTACTTTCCCACTTCCCTTTCCTTTGAACTGGTATTCTAGTCTCAATATGCAAAAGTTTACTGTCAACTTTAGGATTCTAGAAGAATAAACCTGTGGGTAAAGTGGTTAATTACTCATTTAGGAGTACGGATTTAGCTGGCTTTATATTTCATAAAGATTCATAGACTGATGCCCCTGAAGATGAGCAGCTTCATCTTAATCTAAGTACAGATGAGCTACCTGCTAGGTAGACCAAGAGTCTATCCAGTCCAATTTCTAACATACTGCTAGCTTACTTTAATTTATGGAAGACTTTCTATTAAAAGCTGACATTTATTATAATTTTAATTTACCCTTTGACAATGGAAGCTTAGGCTTAAGGATTATTGTAGTCTGTTCCCGTTGCTATAACAAAATACCAGAGACTGGGCAGCTTGAATAACTGACATTTGTTTTTTCACAGTTCTGGAGGCCAGAAGTCCGAAGTCAAGGTGCGGGGATTGTTAGGCTCTGGTGAGAGCCCCCCTTCCTGGCGTGCAGGCAGTGAGTACCTGTGTGTAGACAGCGAGCTCTGGTATTGATTCTGAGGACATCAGAATGGTATCCATCCACCCTACACCTCACCTAGACCTAATTACCTCCCAGAGGCCCCACCTCTAAATATTATCACATTAAGGGGTAGAGCTTCAACAGGTGAATGGAAGGGGGGGTTCCAGTGGGGAGGACAAAAACCCTTCAGTCCATAAACTGATTAAACCACTTCCCTACGGTTTCTCAAAGACTCCAGTAGCAGGGCAAATGCTGACTCCAAGCATTGCTTTATTTTCACTAATAATTTGTCTTTATTGCTTTTTATACATGGATACCCAAACAGTTAGCATATTAAAAAGCAAAATGTTGCTAGTTCTCATTGATTATTCCCTAATTTATTTAGCAAAACATGAATCTCTCCTTCATGTTTATTTTTCCTATATGTTTTTCCATACTTCTCAACTGTTTGAGTGAAGGCAAACAATACAGGGTCTCTCTCCCTCTCGCTCTTTAAAGTTTTACCGGGGAAAAAAAAAAAAAAAAAAAAAGGACTAGGTTCTCGGTGCTTCTGGCAATTTTATTCTAACACAAGAAGTCCCCAGATTGTAATTCTGATAAGTATTTCAGTTCTTTCTTGAAAAATTAAATTCACAAAACAATTGATTATCAGTTATAAATGGCAAAAACACCATCTGGCTTTCAAAATTGGTTGAATCCATGTAGCAAGGGGAAAAAATGTTGGAACTTGTCGTTGGCGAGGAGTTCTGGTCCACGAAGCAGAAAATGACGAGCTTTACTATGAGAAAGACAGAGTAGGCATAACTTGTACTTAGCGGCTGCGGGAATTTGATACGTTCTTCACATGTTCCATATGTTAAATCGCTTGGCGAGATCTTCAGTGTGAAAGAGCTGAGGGGGGGGCGGGGAAGAGGAGCGTGGCTAGTGTATCGGGTAGCAACAGCTTAATCCTAAATTTTCAGCTGTGGGTCTTTCCATACAGACCAGGGCTAAAGATGTCCCACGACTGGGGACGTGGGTGTTAACCAGGTTCCTGAAGCTTGTGTCGCAGGTGGCAGTTTTGGGGTGGAATTTCTAAAGCTATGTGCATCCCTCTGGTGAGGTAAGTCACACAGCATTAGCATTTCCTACAGAAATGTCCCATATTGTTCTTTGCCAATTGGAAATTTGAGTAGGTGTTCATTTGATGTGCCAAGAGAATGAAGGGAGATGAAAACACTCCACATCTTCCAATGTCCCCATACTGTATTCCTAGTGTGGGAGGCTTGGGGCCTAACTAGACTCTCGTGGAGATTCAGCCTCATAAGGAATGCTTTTCCTTAGGAGTGTAATGCAGTCCTGTTATCTAAAAAAATGTTTCTCGGTTGCTGGCATGTTTTTGCCTTATGTTAAAAATGTAGCTATCCGATGCTTATTATTCATGCATTATAATGTGATGTTTATTCATTCACTTAACAAATATTTGTTGAGGCACAGTATAGCATAGTGGTTAATTGTGCAAGACTTGTCTGCCCCTTAAAAACTTTGACCTTGGGGCGCCTGGGTGGCTCAGTGAGTTAAGGCCTCTGCCTTCGGCTCAGGTCATGATCCTGGGGTCCGGGGATTGAGCCCCGCATCGGGGTCTCTGCTCGGTGGGCAGCCTGCTTCCCCCTCCCTCTCTCTGCCTGCCTTTCTGCCTACTTGTGATCTCTGCCTGTGAAATAAATTTTAAAAAAATCTTAAAAAAACAACAACAACAACTTTGACCTCAGGGCAATCGCTTAATCTTTCAAACTAAGTTTAAAAAATATAAAATGGGAGATAATAGTATATGCCATGGGGATTGTTCCAGCTATTAAATGAGATTGTGTATGCAAAATACTTAATAAAAACAATAATTGCAAGGCTAATAATAATAATAGCAAATACCAATATTACACTGAGCTAGGTGCTCGAGTTTCTGGCATATAGGACCTTACTTTATAGTTTACACATCACTTTTTTTTTTTTTAAGATTTTGTTTTTTTGTTTGTCAGAGAGAAAGAGCACACAAGCAGGGGGAAGGGCAGAGGGAGAAGAAGGTTTCCCACTGAGCAAGGACCTCCATGCGGGACTCCACCTTAGGACCCTGGGATTATGACCTGAGCCTAAGGCAGACGCTTAACTGACTGAACCACCCAGATATCCCTACACATCACTTTCAACATACACATAGCCTCAGATTTTTTAAATCCTGATTTGGCGTAACTCTCCACTCTGCCTTTGGTCTGTCCAGGTAGCTGTACTTCCAGAGGTGATAAGACTAGGTAGGACTTTGCAGATTGGACCTTATCCTGGTGACCACACAGTGATGGTTTCCTTCCTCATGCAGCACCATGTGTGCGCTGGAGCTTTCCTGACTTCTGGAGATCTGCCTGTAGTTCATGCATCAGGGCCTGTAATTACAGAGCAGAAAATCCAGGGCTGTGAAGACAGGGCAGTCTTGAAATTAGTTTATGCATAATGGATAATAGGAGGCTGTTTTTAAGCGTAACTCATTTGGTGGGTTGGCAGATCTTGACTTCCTTTTTGATATGTAATATTTATTTATTTATTTATTATTTTATTATGTTTTTAGCTAGACGAGGACAGAGGGCCAGGCAAGTCATTCGGTGCAGCTCCTCTAGACTACAGCAATTTACATGCAGTAATCTCTTGGTCATTTAGCCACAGATAATTTGTCATGGTTTGTTTTAGCTGTTGTGATATTGATATTTATTATGCAAATTGTATTTCCTACATCTTATTGTTCTGCATTCTATGAATACTTAAATTATTATAAACCTCTACACTTAATATGGCTCGTCCTTCAATTTGATGCTTGAGCAACAGAGGGTCAGAGCGCATACGATCTTCTAGAGGGGAAGAAAATAAGTAATTAAAAAGCAGACAAACAAGAGAGCCGGCTGCCTGGTTGAAAAGAAAGCAGAGGCAATTTCGGAAGAGCGAGTCCGCAGAAGCAAATCATTTCAGCCGGGAGAGCCTCTCCCAGAGATACGGAAAGCTCAGAGCACCTGTTGGTCCCCAGCCGCCTTAGGAGGGACTGGGGGCGTAGAGAAGGAGGGAATGTGTTTGAACCCCGAAGGAGGAAGATGGCAGACCCCATCTTCACACACACACACACCCCCGCCTCCGCCCACCACCCCGAAGCCTTGACAGAAAAGATTTTTTGTTGGATGTGTGTAATCGTAAATATATATTATTACATATGTCAAATGTATTAAATACGCATATATATATATATATATAAGGGGAAGGAGGGAGATCTTCGGCAAGCTGGGGAGCCGGAGCCGACCCTCCCCGATCTACCTTTCCGGAAAACCTACAGCAAAGATACCGACTCGAAAATCCCAGAGCCCGACTCGGGCTCCTTTCTCCCAACTATGCCCAAGTCTACCGCTAGGTTGTTGAGCGGGCTCTCCCGCTCCGCCGGACGTGCAAAGCACGCATGCACTTCTCCCAGATTGTTTTGTCAATCCGGGGACCTGCATTCTCACTCTCCACTCCCGAACAGCCCCCGTTTCCCGAAGATCTATTCCTTCGGTGCAAGGTGAGTGACGGAAATTTGCAACGTGTGGTTTCCAGGCCAGATGCGCTCGGTGTACCGGGCAGGGGAGCCTCCTCCTAGGGAGATTCTCCAGTCGTCGGTCCGTTATAGCGATTGCTATATACATGCCTAATATAGGTGTCCCGGAAGCGAGACCCTCCCCCTGGAGCCCGAGCCCCCACAAGCCAGGCGCCCAGGAGAACACTTTTTCCTTGATCCCGGGGAAGCGAAAACGAATTTTAACATAAACATATTTGCATACGCCCCTCCCCTTAGCCCCGCCCCTAGGTGGCGCGGGCGCGCCGCCGAACGCCAGCGCCAGGGGGCGGGGTGGGGGAGGGGGCGAGTCCTCCGGGAGCCGGGTTGGGCTAGCGGCTCTGTGATTGGTCGGTCCGGACTCCGCCCCCAGTGCATGTCATTAGCATCTCATTAGTTGTCCGCTCGGGCTCCGGAGGAAGCCACCGCCGCCAGTCTGAGGCAGGTGCCCGACATGGCGAGTGCTGTGCTGCCGAGCGGATCCCAGTTTGCGGCGGCGGTGGCGGCGGTGGCGGCGGCGGCGGCGCCTCCCGGGCTCCGACTCCGGCTTCTGCTGTTGCTCCTCTCCGCCGCGGCACTGATCCCCACAGGTAGGTGTCGGCACCGGCCGGTTGGCCCTCTAAATCTCCTAAGGCACCCCAGTAGCCATAGCCGTGGAAGGGGGAAACGTTTCCATGACAACCTTCCCCCACTTCCTAAATCGGAGTCGGAGGGAGTGTGGAGAGGAAACTCAGGGCTGAGATGAAGGGGCAGAGGGGTTCGGTGATTCCCTTCTCTCTTGCCCATCTGGGTGGGAATTGGAGCCCTTAGGGATGGCTGCACCCACACCTTTTCTCCCCGGCTTGGCGCGGGGTGAGGAGTGGAGTGAGAATGGGGGGCCCGGGGGCTCGAGAATATGGGAGAAGGAGATGGATGGAGGGAACCCCCCAACCTTCCGGACCCTCCCAAACTCGTTGTTGTCCCCGTAACTTGCAGGTCCTCCCGTCCCAGGGCTGCCCATTCGCCCCCACCTCTCCAGCGGGCCCCCTAAATCTCTATCCCCCAAGCCTCCCCATGGCTGACTAGCAGCCGCCTCCAGCGTGATTGCTCACCGATCCACAGGACATCCCCAGACTTGTCTGGTCGCTCCTGCTCTCCCCGCGCTCTGCCTTTCTCCCCCACCCCCGCCCCCGTCCTCGGAACAGCGCGCCCCTGGTGTCTCCCTCCAGCCCGATAGCGGCCCTCCGCACCCCCCCCCACCCCCCGCTGCCCGGCTGCGGGGCTCCCGGGCTCGGCTCCAGGCAGGGAAAGTTCCTCAGGCCCGGCCCCGCGGGGGGGGAGGCTGCTGTCGCCGCCTCTGCGGGAAGGAGCCGGGAGCCTGCAGCCCGCTTGCCCCACGGCGTCCTCCGCCGCGAGTGGGGACGCCGGATTTACAGACTGCCCGTCCTTTTCGGCAGCCCGAGGGTGGTGGCGGGAGGTTCGGGGCCTCTGCGGCCAGGCGGGCACCCTGCGGGCCTCCGGGCGCCCCCTGTGTGCGGAGCTGTCTTGGGAATTTGCCCAGGGGCGGCTCTGCACGCCCGGCGCCTTCCCCGAAGCCGCCGTGCACTCGGCAGGAGCACGCTGTGTGGCTGCCCGTGTGCCGGGCGCGTTGGCGCGGTCGGGAAAGAAGAGGGCAGTGTTTGCTTTTGCTAACAAAAGGGAGCCGGAGCTCTTCCCCAGCCGAGAGGCTGGCCGTACTGCACCCTGCCTCTCCTTCCCGCCACCGCCGAGCTCCGCGGCCGCGCGGCATCCCCGCACCCCTGGCCGCCCGCTGCGGGCTCCGGGTGGGGAGCGGGGCCGGGAGGCACCGGGACCACGGTGCGGGGGGTGCGGGAGGTGCAGGAGGGGATGCAGCAGGGCTCGGCGCCTGCAAAGCCCCTCCTTGCAGCCTGGGAGCTGCAGGACCCGCGAGCAACAAGTGGCGGAGGACACCGAGAGCTCAGCCCCCACCTGCGGAGCCCCCAGCCGCGGCGGGCGCAGCTCTGGGGCCACCGTGCCTCTACCGGGAGCCTCTCCGCTTGGGCTGTGCCTTTTGTTTACACGCTAGAGGACACACAGTTACGTAAACACCGCAGGAGACACGCTGTAGGAAATGGGGATGTCGGGGTTACTAGCTTTGGATTTCGGGGATGCGGGGTTGGTTTCTACCTTCCCCCCCGCCCGCCGCAAACAGGCTTGCAAGGGAGCTCGGCTCGGGGAACGTATCAGGGATGCACAGGGGTGGGAATCTGGCACCAGCTCAGTTCCAGAGCTGAGGGTTTTTTCTTCCATGCCACTGCTTGTCTCCGGATGTTGTTTATGTGTTTTTCCTCTGTGAATTCTTAATTTATGAGTTAGGAGATAATTGGGTTCAGCCTTTGCCGGTGTGGTTACAACTTCATTTCGGGTGATGTCTCTGACTGGATGGGTTCAATAAAATGTTCGTGAAAGAGATCCCTCATACTGCTGCATTGTAAAAAGCGCCAGTGTCAGTTAAACGTGAGCGTGAGTAAAGGCTCGGTAACTGGCGCATAATAGAGGCAACAATAGACTTGTATTGGCTGCAGAAAGGGGGGGGGGGACAGCGCTGGTCAGGGATGTTGCCTTTTGACTAAAAATGGGATCCGTGCTATGCCGCTTGGCAACAGAGGAGGTCTAGATGATGCCTCCTCCGTCAAGCCTGCTCATTGACGGCACCGGGTAGTAGCGACAGTACTATATTTGTAACTATCTCGCGGTGAGAAGTTGCCTTCCCAGCGAGGGATGTATGTGGACTCAGAAAGGAGCGGTCTGGAACTCAACCGTGCATGTCAAAGCTACAAGAAAATTCTGTTGCCAGTTACCATGGAAGCAGCTTCTTGCTCTTGTGTACATCCCTGTTTGTACGCTGGTTATCAGATTGTGTTCAAATTAGAAAGTAATTGGGTTTGATTTGTAGTGAGGGGGTGAGATGACTGCCTTTAAATCTGTTTCTCCCTTTCCACATTTTTGGGTGATGGCTTGGGGAAGGGGTGTCGGCTTAGCCCCCAGGTCCTGGGCACCGGGAGGAGACGTCTAGGCAGGCACCCGGGGGCTTTGCTTCCTTAGTCCTCTCCTGTTAAGCTTTCTCCGGAGGCCTCCAGGTGCCACTGTCAGGTTAGAGAAACCTGTTGGTGTTGCCTTCTAACTTCATTAGGCGTGTTTCATTTACATGCTCGCTGGGATAGCAGTCTGGGGCCATCCTGCTTTAGGTCTTGGTTCTGTCTTCAGCTGTCACTGAATCCGTCTATCCCCTGGAGAAAATCTCCCATCCCTCCTGTGGTGTGTGGAGTAAATGGATGTTAAGGAAACAGCAGAAACGGGGTTGTGGAAACTCGCTCCTCGGTGTAAATCACGCCTGTTACGTTTTAGGTGTACGCATCGGTGTTGCTTCTCTTACGGCGTGAACCCGTGTATGCATGGGTGTTGCTTCTCTTATGTTTTTTAGCGTTAGAGAGGTTGGCTGATGGGTGGGGGTTCGTGTGGGTGCTGGGAAGCCCAGGGGCTGAGTTTGGCTTGTCTCGGCCTGTTGGGGCTTGTATACCGGGGATGGGGACTTTACAAAAAGTGCCATCCTGCTATTGTTGCCTTTCCCTGCATCAAATTGAATAGCCGCAGGAGGGACTTGCACTTGTCTGTGATAGCTTTGATAAAATATCCCTCATTAATGCCACTTTATATTTACAGTGTGTCACTGGAGACGCACAAGGCTTCATTTAGTGACTTGTGTGACGAGACAAGCTTGCATTATTTGCCTGGGACATTTTGGAGGAACAAGAGGCCCATTGAGCAATCTTTTGAAATGAACAAATACGGAAAAAGGGGGGAATAAAAGAGCAGGCAGTTCTCTGGAACAAAGAGCTTTATTCATATGGATGTTGTACATGCTTTATCCAGTTTTCCCCAATGGCCCTCCTGGTAAAGGGGAGTGGGCCAGGGGAGAAGCCAAAAAGCAGGACACTTTCGCTTCCTCTCCCACTTCCTGACTTCATATTCTTATCGAGTTGGTCCTGGACTCCCTGACTGCTCATCTCGCTCCACTCCCTCTAAAAGCCCAGAAGGTAACAGGTTCCTGGGTCTGAAAAGGAGGCTTTGAAATGCTTTCTCCTAGCTCTGAGTTTCAACAGAAGACTGTGCTAGCTACCTGTTGAGACTCATGGTCATTGGAGGACCTACTGGTTGGATTGAAAGAGATAACACTTTTTTGTGACATGTGTCAAGCAGTGGTTGATAGAGAATGTCAGATAGGTACGATATCTTGCAAACTATAATACTAGTCTTACTATTTATTTGTAAAGAAATGCTATAACAACTGAAATCCAAAATTTTCATTATCACTAATGGTGCTCTTGGAGTTATTCGTGACTTTTGCCCACACCTGGTACATTTTGGCCTCAGACATAAGTGAATTTTTATAATTCCTTGGCCTGCGTTGCTGAATGATTTTCAGGCTTTAAAAAATTGATAGTATTGCTGTGAATAGAAACTGTCTCATTCTCTGGGTTTTTGTATGTTTGACATTTTAATGCCTAATCGGCCACTTAGAATTTACGTTTAAAAAATGGGTGTGTGTGTGTGTGTATGTGTGTGTGCGCGTGTGTACGTGCACAAAAGGCCTATTTTAATGTGGGAGATCTCTTAAATTGGGCCAAACTAATCTATGCTATGATTTGAATGGAAATTTACCAGCTTATAAAGAAAATTTGTAAGAAATAAATCCTAAGGATTCAAACGCTGCATCTCTTTCTTGGGAAGAATAGTACTGACCATTACGCTGGGCGTTTTTAACTGAAAATCCAGCATAGAAAGGAGAAATCACACAGCGACATCTGTTGCAGAATTGAAAATTTGCTGCTTTGAGTTGGAAGCAATTAGTCCCATATAAATACCTAATGGTATCAGTCAGTATGTACACTCATCAAATATGTATATAGTCGCACACATATATGTACATATATATGCACATATACACGAAACTCACCCAATACAATATTCATATGCACATCAAAATGTATGTAATGGAAAATGTGACATTTCAATACCAAAACTTTTTCTTATTACCTGTTGAGGAACCAGAGATTCTTATAATTGTGGAATTTTTGTAAGGGGAAGCTGGTTACAGATCGTCTGCTGAAATCTCATTATTTTGTAGTGAAGCAGCCTCAACCTGGAGAGGGAAGGACCGTGCTTGCTGACCGTGGAACTGAGGATAAGTCAGCTATATGGCCCGGATGGGGACCAGGTCCCTTGATGTAGAGTTAGCAAACCTCTTCTACCACCCAGCAGGGTTGCCCCAGCGAGGATGTGGATCATGGCCACACCATATCTTGGCTAGGCCTAGTTTATCTTGTGAAGACAGCAAGATTAATTGGTGTTCTAGGTAATAAACCCATGGATCAGAGGAGTGACCTCTGAGATAAAAGCACCGGTTCTTGGTAAGGTTGTCTTTGGTGTTGACAAATGATTCTGAAACCTCTGGACTTTATTTGGCAGTCACAACACGAATGTCGTCCAAAGCACCTTCATAGGGGAGAGCTTTTGGACGTGTGTCACTGTGATAAGTCAGATGTGCGAA